GTTTGCAAAATGGACTAAGGCTAACAAAATGGCAATCTTAATCATGAGGAGATCAATTTCAGAGGAAGTAAAGGGCAGCATCACAGAGTCTGAAAATGCAAAGACATTTATTGAGGCAATAGCAGAGAATTCCCAAGGGTCCAAAAAGGCTGAGATAGGTACACTAATGAGCAAACTCACAGATTTGAAGTATAATGGAGAAGGATGCATAAGGACTCATATTCTGAACATGGTTGACATTGGAAACAAACTGAAAGCTCTGAAAGTTACAGTAGATGAAGCCATGATGGTGCACTTTGCTCTTAACTCTCTTCCTAGCATTTATAGGCATTTGAAAACTACTTATATTGCTCAAAAGGAAACATGGACAGTGGCTGATCTAATAGGAATATGTGTGCAGGAAGAGCAAAGCATTAGAAATGATAATGCAAAGGAACATGTGAATCTGGTGCAGGATTTTAAAGGCAAGCCAAAGGAAGGATATAAATCCAAATATGCAGACAAGAAACAGAAAAGGATGAAACTACCAAAGGGACAGGTCCAGTAGGTCTGAAATGTTTTTTCTGCAAAAAGTTTGGTCACATGAAGGGGGATTGTAGAAGGTACAAACGTTGGTTGGACAAGCAAAAGGCTAAAGGTAAGAAAACCTCAGTTTCTGTGGTTTATGAATCAAATTCACTTGAAATTTTATCCAATACATGGTGGTTAGACAGTGGTGCAACGGTTCATGTAACAAATTCTTTGCAGGGGTTCAAAACAAAGAGAGTGCCAAACAAGGATGACTTGAAGGTGTTCGTGGGAAATGGAGAAAGAGTTAAAGTGATTACAATTTTATTTTGGTTTTGTTAACTAGTTTATCTAGACAGTTTTGATTCAGTTATGTTAATGTTTTGAAGTTTTCTATTACTTGCATATACTGTTTCGTTAAATGACAAATAGACTAAAGCCAAACTGTAATTGTGCTAGCAATTGTTCACAGTTTGAATATATGAATGAGTCATTGAATGATTTTGTTTTAAAGACCTTGGCAGTCATTAAGGGTGAGCTAAACCAGTTATGATTGATCACACTCGACAGTATAATCATAACTGTTTTCAATCTTAATCCAGTTGGAAGCCTTATGTGTTTTTGCTAGTTCATATGTGTGGTTGTAAAAGTCTTAGATGTTATATATCTGAGGAGCTTCGACAGTCCCTTGTGAACTATCAATCATGACAGTGGCTTGATAAAGGAATAAAGATAAGAGTAGATTTTCACATGGCCATTAAATGATGACAATGAGCTTGGATCGATTATTTGATCAAGTGGGAGAATGTAAGATGGTTTACTGTCTTAAACCACAGAAGTGATCTTCTAATCGAATAAGGTTTCCTAAGAACTCATGGTTTATCAGAAAATCTATTCCTATCAGATATGGCAGCCTAAGATAAGTGTTCTAGATATACACAGGCTTAAGGATTCCTACTTTGATTAGGATTAAGATTACCTAATCCTATAAGCATTAAGGTTATCTCTAGGAGGTTCTTGATGGGCAAAACTCCTAGAGATATGCATATAAATAGGAGGCTCCTTCTAGAGCCGAGACACACACAAAACCCAAGCATACAGATATTCACCCCATCAGAATTATTGCTGCAAGAGTTCTCGGCTTCTAGGAGAAAGTCTCTGTTTCTCAAGTTCAGTTTTGATCTTCATCTTGTTCAACATGTCTGATACAGGTTAGTGTTTTACATGTTATATCTATTTAGACTTACATCCTTTTGCAAGAAAATTTGAAGTTTTAGACATAAAAAGCAGCAAAAAAATTAATGTTGGGGTTTAAGGTTAACTGTGAGCAATTCATGTTACAAGATTTTCTCATCTATTATATACTTACTTTTGGAGGACCTAAATTCTGAAATGACCTATTCTCCAATAATTGAGATAATTTTTCCCTTGCTCCAAGTAAAACAACAATTTCCCAACCTCAAACAAGATTGTATCATCTATAATATACTTTTGGAGGATCCACTTGTTTGGTTTGTGGATTGAGTTTTTTAGGAATGAAATTCACATGTCTAATCTCACGAGATGAGAATGGAGGATGTTCATTCCATGTTTGGGAACATTTCAAAATGAGTACTAGGAAATGTCAGTTTCTCCTTTTTCCATGTTTGGTTTGTAAAGTATTAGGAATGAAAAGTTGTTCAGTTTCTTTATTTTTTTATGATTAAAAGTTATTAATATAAATAGGTTTTTAAGGGGTCAAAAGTGGTATTTAAAAACTATAACATGGGTAAGTTAGTTTTTTTAAAAATACATTAAATGCTTTCCCAAGTTGGGGTGGGTGGGGGGTGGGGGAGGTTTCCCAATGTGAGCCAAGGGTGTGAAATTCCCTCTACATGGGTAGTTCATACCCATGAGTTAGGTATTGCATTCCCAAGAATGCATTTACCAAATAGGAGCGTCAGTGGGGTATAGCTCAGTTGGTTGAGCTTAGGCTTGGGCATGGGTCAGTTCGAAATGGTAGAGCTCTGTCGTTAACTATACATAAGTTTTTGGTAGGCTAATTTCTCTTCCGTTAACCGAATATTATGACCTTTAACTGTTTGGATCGGTTAACTGTATGTTCAATTCTGGTTGGTTCGGTAGGCCGATAGTACCGTTTGACAAAAAACCTATTAATTACATAATAAAAATTCAATTTATAATCATTTCACATAACATAAGTTCTTGAACAAATACTCCAAATTATCCATGTAAACGATAAAAAAAAAAAAACAAAAGTCTAATTCATCTAAGTACGAAATCAAAGAAATCAATTTTAAAATTACAAACGAACATGAAAAAATACCTAATCAAATAACAAATAATGTTACAAAACAAGACCGGCCGGCCCAACACGGCATGAGCCGAATCCATTTAAAGGAGGCACAACACGGCACCAACACGAATATTAGTGGGCCATGCTTGGCATGGCACGAAAGCTTCGGTCAAGCTAGGATAAAAAAAATGAGGTCTAATAGATCGGGCCGGCCCATGGCCCGATCTTGCTTCAAGCATGGCCTGTTTTAATCTCTTCTTTATATTGTATATTGTGTTTTGTGTAAACAAGATGTAGCCTTTTTCTTTATATTGTTACAAGATGTAGCCTTTTTCTTTATTGCAGCTAAGCCAACTATCTTACTCATTTCCCCACATTTTTATCTGCTGCCAAACACTATATATGTAGTTATTTTAGTATATCATTATACAAAGATCATAACACAAGGTTAAATTTTAACCCCTTTTTTTATTTTTTATTTTATAAGATGCTAGTATGCGTCCTTTTTGGTTCTTCCTCCCCTGGTTTGCCGGTTTGCTGCTTTAATGAAACCAAATGCTTGTTTATTCGTTTTTTTTTTTTTTCCAGGAAAGGCTGTATCACAGGCTCTATAGGGCTAATCTTGGGTAAATATTGAATTTCATGAACTTTTTAGGTGGTGGTGATGATGAACAATTGTAGATTTGGAGTGCATTAGTATAAATAATGGTGATATATGTTGTGGGCTACTTTCACGAATTGTCTTGTTGGGTTTTCTAAACAAAGCTTTTGTTTTATTAAGTGCTACTTCGCAATAAACTTGTTATTCGAATTTTGAATTGTTCTCAAATTTTCTTAGTCTGCAATTTTTTTTACCTTTTTTAAAATTCGACCAGAGATACATTGGCTTCCAAAATGAAAAGGGAGAATTTCAAATTAAATGGGCTGGTTCTTGGGCCCGAATACGGCCCGTTTCAAAATGGGCTTGGATTTTGAGCCGAGCTGGGATCAATAATTTTACTAAATGGGCCATCACAACCCTACCCGATAAATTAAATTGATCGGCCAGACCTGGCACGAGTTTAAATGGGCCGACCCAACCCGTTTGACACCTCTATTGGGGAGGGTTACATATCTACTGCTCGTCCTTAGGGGATTACTTAGTGGGTATGACTGAATGAGAAATAAAAGAGGCATTTGATTTTAGGGTTCAAGGTGTCATGTTGTAGTGTTATGCAACCTAGGATAAGCTTCATATCCAATAAGTTGACACATGTATTAATATTTAAATAATAAGATAATAAATATCGATTCGATATGGATATCCATCGGGTTAGAGATATTGTTACCCGGTCCTTTGACCAAACTTTTCAGTATAAATTGGATCGGAAAAATTAAAAATATCGTTTAACCAAACCAAACCGTCAGTTCAGTACTATCGATACACAGATTTTCGAATGAGATGCCCAAACCCCTAGTTGAGCTCTTCCACCTCCACCCATGTGGGCAAAGGTTCGAAATCCCCAGGCACCAAATGAATATTTGTGTCAACCGCCCTCCCCCAATCCCTTGTACTATAAAAGCCAAATATAGGAATGAAATTTCATACCCATTCTCAAACTCCTAAATCTGAAGCTAAACGGTGGAAAGAAAATTACCCAAAGGCTGGCTAAGATTGAATGGGCCTAGTATAACTAGGGCCGGAGCCCAACGGAACAACCTAAAGCCCAATGGAACAGATGAATTAATGATGGGGCTAAGACCACTGGAACCAAAACGACGTCGTTCAACCTCTCCTCTCGTGCTTGCCATTTTAGGCGCACATCAAATTCGCGCACTGTAAAAAGCAGACAGGTGGGTGAGTCTCCCACTCGTGACTCACCTCGCGACCTCTCTCATTCCCAATTAACCGTCGTCGTCTTCTTCCTTATTACCTTCCACAGCTTTCACAATCCCTTCCTTCCCCCCCC